TGCTGAGCGCCTTCAGCAGCAACACTGCGGCCACGGGAGCACTGGGGCTCCGCCCCACGCGTGTGTCAGTGGGTAGTGCACCCCGCACCCACTTCAGTAGCCAAGGACGGTTGGTAGAGAATGGCATCAATTTGATGTGAATGAAGAATCTGAGGGCAGGCATTTCTGCAGAGAAAAAGGTTGTGTGTTACTCTGTTGGTTTTGGTCCTGGTCCTGCATGTTTAATCCCCCTTCAGGCCTCTCCACTGCACCACAGGCTTTTAGGTCTCAGGAGGTGTTGCCTCCTCTCCCTCCCCGTCCTGGATGCCATGTGCACCCCGCAAGAACGGGGCACCACACTGTTTGTTTTTAATCTTTCGGCTCAGCAGGCCCACACAGATGCCAGAGCTGCCAGCTGTTTTCTGTCATCTGAGAGTTATGTTATCCCTGTTTTATCTAAGGCTGACCTAGTTCTCTTGCTCTACTAAAGTATGAACAAATGCAGGCAGATGCTCTATCCATAAAATGCAACTTGGTAAGCTCTTACTGCACTGCACGCCCCTGGGTCCCTCCATCAGAGCTTCCTGTCCTTCCCCGAGCGTCCCTGTGTCCTGTGGAACATGAGCCTCACTCATCGCGCTGCTTTGTGGGAGACTCTGCCGCTTTTGCCACAATAAAAGCTGGCTCCTCTCAGCCCTTCCTCCTCCGGCAGCGTCTCATGCAGACTTTCACCTCATGCCCCAACTCCTCCAGCTCCATGCGTTGACCCTTCTGAGGCATAACTTCCCCTCTGGCTACAAAACCCTGCTTTCTTCTGGGCTGTAGCACGTTCTTCCTCCTGAGAGGATGTAGAGATGAGAGAGGCGGTTAGGGCAGGGTCCCTGGGAAAGGAATGTGTGCGTGCATGATGGGCACAGCCAGCTCCAAACCACCAGAATGTTGATCTTTTTATTTTTTTAATATATTTTTATTGATTTTTTTTTTTTACAGAGAGGAAGGGAGAGGGATAGAGAGTTAGAAACATCGATGAGAGAGAAACATCGATCAGCTGCCTCCTGCACACCCCCCACTGGGGATGTGCCCGCAACCAAGGTACATGCCCTTGACTGGAATCAAACCTGGGGCCCTTCAGTCCGCAGGCCAATGCTCTATCCACTGAGCCAAACCAGGTAGGGCCAGAATGTTGATCTTACAAGCACAGAGGGCAGCAGGATGCTACGGGGAGGAAAGGGGTAGTGCTGGGTCGGCGGCAGCATTTATAAACCCTGGACAGAGACTTCCCGGGTGACCCATTTGGGCCCTCCCAGGTGGGGTTTGCATGTGCTTGCAATACATGTCCAGGCTTCTGCATAAAATCTCTCAGTCCATAATCTTTATTCTTCAACTTCGTGGGACAAGAACCCGGAATAGGGACTCAGGCTTGCCGTTAGGGGTGACACTTGCATCTCGCCATCTTTTGGGTCATCTGCCAACTCCAATCCTTTGGGTCTGGAGGTCTTCCTCTCCACTGGATAGAGCGCCCCTTGGCATACCCGCTTTCTTCTGCCCCCCGTGCCTTTATCCTCTCCTACGTCCCAGAGCTCTTAGAATCCTGCCCAGCCTCTACGGTGGCTCACAAGGCCCTCATGATCTGGCAGCTTGCAATGTCTCCAATTCCATCTCTGGGCCTCTTCCCTCTGCTCCCAGGAGCCAGCCAAACTACCCTTTTCTCAGTTCCCTAAATGCACCAGCGCCTTCCTCCATTATGCTTGTCATCAGCTCTGTGGGCTCATCAGGCCACACTCATTCTACTGCATCTCCGCCTCAGCTCTGCTCCTAAGTGCACTGCCGAGGGAGATTCGCCTCTTGGTGTGGGTGAACTGTGTCCCCTCCCAAAGGGTATGTGAGGACCATCCCCAGTCTTCAGACACGTGACCTTATTTAAATACAGGGTTATCACAAATGTATTTGGAGAAGATGAGGTCATATGGAGTAAAGGGCTTTTAAAATGACTGGTATTCTTTTACGAAGAGGAGAAGAGATGCGTGGAAGAAGGCAGCTATGTGGTGATGAAGGCGGACAGACACACCTACCAGGATTACTAGCAAACAGCAAAAGTTAGAAGAGGGGGAAAGGATTCTCCCCAAGCTTTCAGAGGGAGCCTGGCCAACAGCTTGAAGCCCCCAGCACTGCAGACTCCAGCCTCCAGAATCCCAGGTCCAGACTCCCAGGCAACAAATCCCTAAGCTTCAGCCCCTTCGTTTGTGGTAGTTAGTTATGGATTCTGCCTCCTTCATAGTCTACACCACAATTTGTCTCCATTTCCTGTTTGTTGACTAGTCATACAGTTTTCATGGATGTTTTTGTGTGTGGGAGAGATAGTTGTACTTTGAGAGAGAGGTATTTCCAATTCCAACATTCTATATACTTTAAATATATAGGGATGATAATTAACATTATATGAGATTTAACGCCATCTGGTCTATGGCTTAGGAAGAGTAGCTCGCATGAAAAAAATGCAGGAGAGGCATGTGCAGAACTGATGCCCTGTCTTCATTTATTGTGGTTTTATTCTTTCACCCAACCATGAAAAACTCAGCTTGTTATAGGAAAATAGGGAAAGAATCTTCAGTTCACCAATCATTCTTGCTGCAGTCACTGAGCGCAGGCTGCTGCTACCGCGGGAGTAACGGCCGAAGGGCTGATGAATGGCTGCTGTGTGGAGATGTGCTCTTCCAGAGGACAGCCCCCCAGGTCTCTCAGTCTTGCGTGCAGGGGAGGCTCCGAAAGAACAAAGAACAACGGGCGCCGAGGGCCTTTATCTAAATGTCACTCGTGAGCTGGGTAATGAGAGCTGAAGGAGTTCCATTGGAGATAATAAACCAATTTTTGCAAGAGAAGATGAAGTAATTAATTATTCAAGGACAATGACTTCTTCAACTTCCTCTCCACAAACCACATTCATCCTTAGCTGTTTAAGTAGGAAGCAGGCTGCACACTGCATTCCCAAGTACCTTCTTAAATAAGACACCGGCTGTAGTTCAATTCAGGAATTCTGAGTGTGCGGGGCAGTGGTTCCTGGCAGACACTCGAGGCACAGGACCACCTCTGGCAAGGCAGGGCCCTGCCCTCCCCCTGGTGGGATGCTGGTAGCCGCACAGCCTGTGGTTCCAGCAAGGTCCCGCTGGGCCAGACAGCAAGCAAAGGTGGGCCCTCGGATGCAGCCCAGAGAGCTTCCCGCCAGAGGCATCGCGGGCTGGCTTCCCAACCTCCCCTTGGGAAAATCTTGCTGGAGGGAGGAGTCTGGGTAATAATTTTCCTTTGGTTTTGCAGCATCCTCCCAGGTTTGCTGGGAGCAGAGGGAAGTGTCACAGTATTTGGAGAAGCCCTGTGGTTGGAGCACTGCTGAAGTTTCCGAAGCCAATGACCAGGCATATTCCTCTTTGCCAGTTCACCTGTAGTTTACCTTCTGTAAGGCTTAATTTCCTGAATTTATACTACATGATGTCTATGTTCTCTTTTAGTTTCAAATTTAGGGTTGTTTTTTTTAGAACAATAGATTTGATTAATTGAAAGAAGAACAAATCATAGGAGCCTAAAATAGCAAGGAAGGTGTGGCATGTTGGTAGAGTGGCCCTCCCTTGAGCACTGGCATCTCTCTCTGGCTTAGTTGTCTCTAGAAGATGTGACGTTCCACCTCGAGACCGCCATAAACTCATCCCAATTCTTTTTTAAATTTTTAATTAAATTTATTGGGGTGATAATAGAATTGTACCCATGAAACCTATACAAATTTGAGGGCTTTGAAGGATGTGAAATCTAAGGCCTCCTTTCAATTCAACAAAACCAAGTTGGCTGCATCTGCCTGTACATTTTGTTGTTGTTTTGTGTTTTGTCTTTTTTAAAAAATCCTACTGCATTAGTCATGTTTCTTCAGACATGGAACCCATGAGGGGTGTGTGTGTGTGCGTGTGTGTGTGTTCATTACTGCCATGCGCCGCATAACGACATTCCCCTCAATGACAGAATGCATACAATGGCTGTCTTGACAGGGGCAGAAATAGAATATTGGGGACCAACTATAATTGTAAGGAATATTAATCATGCTCTGTATTGTTTTGTTCTGATTAAAGAAGGCACATTCGAACCTGGCTGGGAGCTCACCTGGACATGCAGCCCATCCTCCCATCTGAGCGGCCTGTTCTCATGGAAAGATTAACAGCCTTGTTGCAGAACCCAGAGCTGCCAGCCCTTTGAAGACCCAGCCTTTGCATACCCACAGGCTTTTGCAAATGTCCAGCTGCATTACTTGTTAACTGGCCTTTGGCATACCCTTTTGCCTACTTCCCCATGTAATCTTTGTTCTTCTACCCAATATAAACAGCTTACAGGGGGGTAGAACGTTTAAATTTTAAACCTGCTATTCTGGCTTCTGTACACACCTGCTTGCTTCAACAATAGGGTAGTTACCTCAGTTTCCAGATTGAGACCTGGAAACTCACATAAATCACCCCATTATGTTGCCAGCCCCATTATGGCTCTACAAAGGATATTCTTCTGTGCCTGAGGACCAGAGCCACCAAAGAATGCTGCCCGTTGACTCAGTGGCTCCAGGAATTGAAACTGTAGATGATCTTTACAGATTATTAACTTTGCTCAATTTTGCTTCTGTATAATCTGCTTTCACAAGATAGATTCACATCCCAGCGTCCAGCAGGATGTGGTTTTTGCCTTTATAAGCTCGCTACTCTAGTCACTCGGGGCTGCGAGATTTGGAGAGCTAATGCCCCCTCGCAGCCGCCGGCTTTTGAATAAAGGCTCCTTAATTTGACTTCTTGACTGAGGCATCCTCTGTTCCACTCGCGGCGTCCACTACAACACCACCACGCATTAGTCACTGTTTGTGGTGACGCTGGTGTAACAAACCTAGTGCCTTGCAGTCACGTGAAACAGCCCCGACGATGATGTACAGCCCACAGCCTGGGCAACGCTGAGGAGCACTGTGAGACCGGCGCGTGTGTCCCTGTGCTAGACTTTTATTCTTATTTTAAGTGTATTCTTTCTATTTATGTAAGAAAATAAGTACTCTATAAAATAGCATGCCTTGTTACGCCTCATGCATCTTGTTTACCGCGTCTCGTTTTCTCTGGCGCTCGATTTATTCTCGTTGTTTTGTTCACTGTGGCCGCTCAGCAAACAAGTCCACCGCCGACGCCAGTGAGAGACACACCGAGTGACGCCCGGGGAGGAAGGTAGAGATGACGAACAAGTTACAGAGGTCGAGAGCCAGGCCACTGCTGGGCAGGCGGGCGTCACCTCAGCCTCGGTCTTGAACAAGAGCAGAGAGAGAGAGACAGAGAGAGAGAGAGAGAGAGAGAGAGAGAGAGAGAGAGCGGGAGCTGTGGAAGCATCTGCTCCCCGGATGCTTTGGGACCCATGGGTCCAGCAGCTTCTCTCCTCCTTGGAGCAGCGCCAGGGCCTGGAGGGAAGGCCGGTCACAGCGGGTCCCGGGCACTAAGGTCACGGCCACCGGACACGTTCGCTGGTTTAGAGAACGGCCAGGCCTGGCGGAGGCTGAGGCTGCTGGCTCTGGGTGGTGGGAGCAACTCAGGACCCGCCATTCACCCCCCAGTGAGGTGAGCGCGGCTGCGAGTGCTGCTGGAGGCGGCGGGAAGCTCCGGAGAAGCTGATTGTAAAGAAAACGAGGCCAGACTCTTCCTGTGGATGGAGCCCCGCTTCCTGGGGCGCCTGGAGGCCCTGGTCCACAGGGAGGCTGCAGGCCGGTCCGCTTCTAGGAGCGAGAACAGCCTTGCCCGGGGCCAGGGCAGGGCCCCAGTGGAGACCCTGTGTCTGGCACCGTGAGACCCCTGGACCTGCCGAGCAGTGAGCATCCTGGGTGCCGGCTCCTCTCCCAGGTGCCGCCTCACTGCCGGGCGGCGAGACGGGGAAGGGCTGCGTGGGGAACAACACACTTGCAGGATGTGCCTCCTGTGGACAGGCGCCCTTTTGGGTGCTCTTCACCCCGACCTCCAAGGGGTGTGCATCCTTTCAACCCCCTCTCTCGCCAGGAACCGCGGGGGTGCAGCCTTAGGCGTGTCCTGAGGCCGCCCTGTGCCTGGCTGCTGCGCAGCTGAGGGAGGACGGGTGCCACTCCAAGGTGACGGCGTCCATGCTGCACCCAGAGCCTCGCTGTGAGTCCCCAGCGAGTCAGGACTGTCACTCAGGAGGAGACACTCGCGAGGTTCGTCCATGACGTCAAAGGCCTTGCCAAGCACGAGGGAGGAGCTGCCAGCGCAGCAGCTGCGGCTGAGAGGCCCAGGGCTCCCTGGGCGAGGAGGGGCCTGCGGAGCTCCTAGCGGTGGGTGCTGAGGAGCTGGGAGGCCCAGGGCTCCCTGGGCGAGGAGGGGGTCGCCCTGCGGAGCTCCTAGCGGTGGGCCCTGAGGAGCTGGGAGGCCCAGGGCTCCCTGGGCGAGGAGGGGCCTGCGGAGCTCCTAGCGGTGGGCCCTGAGGAGCTGCCCAGGGAGGAGCTGTTGGACCTGGAGCAGGAACGCGGAGCTGAGAAGAGCCAGAGAAACGGAAGCTCCAGGGGAGGGAAAAGAAGAAAACCCCCAAGAAGACGCGCAGTGAAGAGCTCAGCGGACGCTGTTGCAGAGCTCAGCGAGCTCCTGGAAAAGTCTGGAAACATGGACGCCAACACAAAAGGTTTTCACTGAGAGAGGAATGTTCATGGTGGGTTATGTGCTTGCAACCTGATCTGATTCAAAAACAAAATGAGCAAATCTTCGTGGTCATAGTTCTGACCAGCGTGACACTCCTTCCTCAAGGAGAGCCTCGGCCTGTCCTCCCTGAGGTGCCCGGGGGTGGGGGTAGGGGGGGGCGCTGTCCCAGGAGACGAGCCGCGGCTGTCCTTGCCCCGGACACTTCCCAGGGCAAGGCGTGGAGGTGGGAGGCAGGGGCACTGAAGGTCCTGACCTGCGTGGGCCTAGCTAGGGCATGTGTTCATGTGTTCGTGTCGTAGTTTTTAACAAAAAAGTTTAAAAACTAAAGCAACGAAACAATTTTAAATAGAAAAAAGCATATAAAGTATTTTTGTACCGCTGTGCAGCGCGTTTGTGTTCATGCTAAGTGTATGGCCAAAGAGTCAGAAAGTTAAAATGCGAATAAAATCAAGAGTCCCAGGAAGCTCAGGTGGATTTGTTACTGAAGAAAGGAGGCATGTTCATAAGTGCACTGTCGGCGGGTGCACAGTGTGTGCCAGGGCTGCAGCGGTGTGTCCCAGGCCTTCCCTCTCCTCACCGCCTCCTCACGGACCCCCCAGCGCTGCCAGGCCGGTGAGCGCATCATTCTTATCTGTCACGTGCTTACGGTGCCGTGTGTGTGTTTAGATACGTTTAGACACACAAATACTTACCATTGTGTTACAGTTGCCTACAGTATTCAGCAGAGTAACATGCTGTATGGTTTGTATATTAGGAGCAATAGGCTAGACCCATGGTCGGCAAACCGTGGCTCGCGAGCCACATGCGGCTCTTTGGCCCCTTCAGTGTGGCTCTTCCACAAAATACCACGTGGGGGCACGCACGTACAGTGCGATTGAAACTTCGTGTCCCATGCGCAGAAGTCGGTATTTTGTGGAAGAGCCACACTCAGGGGGCCAAAGAGCCGCATGTGGCTCTCGAGCCACAGTTTGCCGACCACTGGGCTAGACCATACAGCCTAGGTGTGTAGTAGGCTACACAACGTAGGTTTGTGAGGTGCACGCTGTGTGTGCGTGAAATTGCCTAATAATGCATTTCTCAAACAAAACCCTGTTGATAGCGATGTACACCTGTAAAAGGAATTGCTCACATGACTATGGAGACTTCTGTTCCCAGGTATGTACTTGGCAGGTGGAAGACCACGGAGCCAATGTTGCAGCCACAGTCTGAAGGCCAGCAGGCCTGAGACCCAGGGGGACCTGAAGTCAGGAAAAGCCGAGGGCCCAGCTCAAAGGCCACCAGGCAGCAGATCCCTCTTAACCGAGGACGTCAGCCCCCCTCCTCTATTCAGGCTGCCACACTGGGGCGGGATCTGCTACACGGCCCACCAGATTCAAATGTTAATCCACCAGAAACACCCTCCCAGGAGCACCTGGAGCAATGTGTGGGCACTGTGTGGCCTCGTCAAGTTGACACATACAATCACACCCACCAAAGGGTTAGTAAAGGACAAAGCGGAGTGGGCGAGTCCGAGGACCATCGGAGTGCTGGGTACCGGATGGAGATGGGCCGGATGGCCGAGGGCAGATGGAACTTCAAAACGGAGCCTGGATCAGGACAAGTTTCTCTCTGTGGTGACTCCAGGGTCAAGGGTATGAAGGAGTGTGGAGAGGAGAAACCGACACCAACACAACTAACGGAACAAACCAACAACAACAACAAAACAAACCTCTGCACAAGGACGGAAAGGATCAGCCCTCTCCGCCTGGAGGTGGAGCAGTGAGCCAAACCCCAGGATAAAAGCACGGAAGTGATCACCAAGACACGGTGATCTCCCTGGCAGGGGCTGAGTCAGAGTCGGTGCCCAGAGTAGCTCCTCCTGGACGGACTGGGCACCCTGGGAGGAGCCCGCCTGCTCCTGCGGTCCTCGCCCAGGCCCGTGAAGGGAAGCCTGGCGGTTGACCTGCGCTGCCCACAGTCCTGGCGCTGTGGCCTGCTCCCTTGTCCGCAGGACGCTGAGGAAGGAGGGGACAACCACAGGAAGCACCGTATCGATCGCCCAGGCTCCCATTGATAATAAACATGGTGTCTGCATAACAAGGCCCAGTGGGCAGCCCGCACGAGGCACCGGAGAACATGCTGCTGTGCTGTTCATTCTCAGAGGTCAAGCACAGTCACTGTCACCTCTGCCCCCCCCCGACCCCGCACCCCCCCCCCGGGACATTAACTCCGGACACTGCCCCCGAGGGATGAGGTGTGTAACAGCATGTCAGGTGCGGGGTCTTCAGGCATTTGTGTAAGAGAAAGAGGTCCTCAGTGCCTTCCGCGTTGTCACCAGATCTGTGCCTGCCTGCCTGGGAGACGCGGACGGCGCTGGCAGGAGCAGGGCCGCCTCCTTTGCGTTCAGTGCAGTCTCCTCTCACAGGGTCGCTTCCATTCCTGGCTTTGGCTCCATGTTACCTTTTCC